TTCATTACTAAATCTTGGAAACAGCGTCGATGTATTCTTGGAGAGAAACCACAGCGCTGTCATTGCTGTTGACTGTCAGTTGAATGAACTCATCACCTCCTACGCTGTTTCTGCCTTTGCAGAGGTGTCGGAGGTGTCGGAGGTGTCGGCGGTTACGGCGATAAACTTGTCCTGTGTCTGTGGTTATGTTTTAGCTTCTGGATGTGTCAGCACAACTCATGACCACAGCTGGTTTCCAGAAACCATCTTGTTGCCGGAACCGGACCAGTGTGCCAGGATATAGTTGAGGCAGAGGTCGGGCTGCTGTGTTGAAATAAGTCTGCTGGCGCTACTGGCAGACTTCTCTCCTCTCACGCGCTGTTTCCTGGCAAACTACTTGTGGTTCCAGCTGTTTTGGTGTTGCAGGGAGGATGGAGCGGAGTCTCTGGCTCATGAGTAGTTGTGCAGGCAACTGTTGTCCACAGGGGTGTTCCGGTATTCTAATAGGCTCAAGCAGGGATCCTTATGCTCAGCTTTGGCCTTGTCCAGTAGTTTTTTTGCTGTCTGGACAGTCTTTTCGGCTAGGCCGTTGCTCTGTGGGTAATGGGGGCTAGTAGTGCTGTGGGTGAAACTCCATGACTTTGCGAACTGTTGGAACCTACTTGAAGCATAGCACGGGCCGTTATCACTAATCACACTTATGACTCTGGAATACCATGCCTGGCCATGGCTGACTTTAGTTTGCAGATCACTGCTTCTGCAGTGCAGCTGTGCAGTCTTTCCAACTCGAAGAATCTACTATAGTAATCTACAATGATGATGTAGTCTTCCGAGTTCCAAGTAAACAGATCGGTTGCTATGACCTGCCACGGTCTTTCTGGTATTGCATGTGACAGCAGGGGTTTCTTGGGGTTAGCAGTTTGTCTCTCCTGGCATGTGCTGCAGGCTCCGACTGCTTCCTCAATCTGCTTTCCCATGCCTGGCCAAAACAGAAGGTCTCTGGTTCTGTTTTTACTCTTTTCTATGCCCATATGGCTGGAATGAATCCGATCTATCATGTCCTTCCTGAGCCTTTTTGGGATTATCATTTTCTCTCCTTTAAACATGATCCTGTCTATCAGTGAGATCTCATCCCTGTGGTTCCAAAACTCCTGGATGTCAGGCGGACATTGAGACCTTTTATCCGGCCATCCACCCAATGTAGTCCTTCTCAGAGTGTTGAGCTGAGGGCCCTAGTGGCTTTTCGAGTATGGACTCTAGTGGGTTTTGGTCCGATTCAATGGTCACATGTCAACTGTACATGAACTCGTGGAACCGCTTGCAGCCAAAGAGAACAGCATACAGCTCCTTTTCTATTTGGGCATAGTTCTGCTCAATGCTGTTAAGTGACTTGGATGCGTAGGCAACTGGCCTGCCGTCCTGCAGCATCACAGCACCGAGGCCACTTTTGGATGCGTCGACCTGGAGTTGTAGCGCTTTCTTGGGGTTGAAGAAGGAGAGAACTGGGCCTGGTTCTCTAGTGATCAGCTCCTTCATTTGTTGAAAGGATCTGTCATGGTTCTTGTCCCATACAAACTCACTGTCCTGCTTTAACAGCTGGCGGAGTGGTGCGTTTATCTCTGACAGATGTGGGGCAAATCTTGCTAAATAATTAACCATCCCCAGCACTGTTTCCAGTTCTGCCCTGTTCTGTGGGGGCGCCATGTCTTGGACTGCTTTTACTTTTTGTGGATCTGGTTTTACTCCTTCGTGTGACAATGTGTGACTGAAGTAACTGACCTCTTTGACGCAGATGGTGCACTTGTCAGGGTTCAGTTTTACACCTCTCTCCCTGCTGCACTGCAGCATGGCCCTCAGGTTGCCGTCATGCTCCTGTTTGGTTCCTCCGAAGACCAACACGTCGTCCACAATGGCTGCCACGACCCTCAGGCCTTCGTAGGTCTCATCCGCGCGTCGCTGGAACTCATCCTGGGCTGAGATTATGCCAAATGGCAGCCTGAGGAAGCGGTACCTGCCAAACACAGTATTAAATGTGGTTAACAGAGATGATTCGTGGCTTAGCTTAATGGCCCAGTAGCCTGATCTGGCATCCAAAACACTAAAATACTTGGCCCCAGCAAGTTTTGTGGTGACATCCTCCAAGGTGGGTAGAGGGTAATGGGGTCTTTGTATAGCCTTGTTGAGGGGTCTGGGGTCCAGACATACTCTGAGTCTGCCTGTCTTGGGTTTTTCCACGACAACAAGTTCATTCACCCAGTCCGTAGGATCTGTGACCTTGCATATGATATGATTCCATTCCATGCTGTCAAGCTCATCTTTGAGTCGGGCTCGCAGAGTGATTGGAATCCGACAAGGTGGGCTGACTGTGGGTGCGACGTCTGGGTTTACATGGAAACTGCATTCACCAGGAAATTCTCCTATCCCTTTAAATATGTCAGCATACTCGTCTAGTATTGCTTGCAAACTGCTGGTTGTCTCGTCTCTTTCCTCCGTCACTGCCATCACAAACCTGACCAGGTTAAGGTCACTGCAAAAACTTCATTGCTAATACAGGTGGGGCGCTTGTGTTAACAACGTGGAATTCCAAGGTGCGGGTTTTGTCTTTGTGTTTGCATTTTAGCTGGCATTTCCCTTCCACGCTGAGTGAGTGTCCCCCGTAATCCGTGAGCTTGTGTGTGACAGGCTTCAGTGTCACATGTGGGAAGAGTATCTGGAACATGTTGGCTGGAATTGTGTTCGCTTGTGCCCCAGTGTCAACTTTAAACCTCACTGCCAGTGGGGGGAAACCAAGTTGCATGTCTGCATATGCTTGCTCATCATTTCTTCCTTCATTTTCTATAGTGATGCTATCAATGTAGAAACAGTCTTGCTCCTCATCTGTGTCCTTAGCTGTCACTTCTATGTTCTCTCTCACAGTGTGTACTGATTTGAGGTGGGCTTTTTCCTGCAAAGGGAGTCTTGACCTGCATGCTCTTGCAAAATGGTTCATTTTCTTTGCACATTGCTTTCGTTTTGCTGGGCAGATGTCTTTATTACTGTGTTGTCCGGCACAATAGCTGCACGTTTTTAGTGTTACATTAGCGTGTTCTTTTGGTTTCACGCTTCTTGTTGGATTTTCTTGTCTGTGCAGTTTCCTGCCGATGGCGTGCACAGTTTCTTGGCCCCTGGAGTGGCCCATAGATTTTAGCTTTGCTTTGCTAGCTCGTGTGATCGTGCTATATCTATAGCTTTCTCTAGCATGAGCTCTGCGCCTTGGCTGAGTAGCTTTTCTCGGACATGTGAGTTAGTGGCAAATACGATGCGATCCCTGACCATTTCATCTGTATTTGGGTACCCACAGTCTTTAGCGAGCAGTTTCAGTTCCGTAATAAACTGTTCAAACGCCTCATTTTCACCCTGCATCTTTTCATGGAACTTATATCTGGCGTAGATTGGGTTAGCTTTCGGTGTGATGCAATCAGTGTACTTATCGTAGTACGTTTGAAGCTTTCGGGAGTCGTCTGCGGTGAGCGTCCACGTGTTGTAGACGTCCCGTCCTTTCTCACCGACCCATAGAAGAAGGTAGCCTCCTCCTTCCCCCTGAAGAGGACCAGCGAACATTAGCTCGGCGTGCTGCTTGAAGCGCCGCCATGCCTCGGGCAGGTTGCTAGAGTCCCAATGCATGCGCGGTGTGGGAACGCCATAAGCCTCCATGTCTGCACTGTCCGACGGCGAGGGATTGCGTAGAAAACTGCTCGCCAGTAAATTACACACATTGCAGCAACACAGTGCAATCTAGTGGCTGATGCAAACATAGGTCAACATGTTACACGCAGTGTCCTGTTATATTTTAGATAGCAAGGAGCAGACGGCTGAGTTTATTAAACTCCAACGAGACAGCAGTGACGCAAATCTGAAAGCTAGACTGTTCCATTTTACAGCCGTTTACTTCTGGCCTACCCGACCTTCTGAGCACCCGGCCCACGTAGACCGCGAAGGTCAGCTCATGAATTTGGACACAACTGAAGTCCACACACCAGACCACACTTCAAATTTGGGGAAATCGACAGCGCAGTTGTCGAGCGCATTTGGAGTACACTTCGAATTGTGACAACCGTCGTTGCGTTGCTGTGATGTAATCAGTCTCCAAATGCGCACTACGAAGCATGCGGTCGCTGGACACCCCCACAATCTGACTGAGAGTAGGGCCTTTTTTCAATTCTCAAGTACGCAAGTCCGTACTCGCGTTCTTGGCAAGTCCGGACTTGCCGAAAACACGAGCACGGACTCGCGATTTGTACAATTGGAACACCATTTTATGATGTCACAGGTCCGGAGTTTTTACTGCCGTCCCCTCTTAATTTAACTGTGATTAATATGTTATGAAGCTTAACTTTAATCTCAGCCAAACCGATTTACTCAGGAACAAAGAAAACACTGAAATAAACCAAATATTAACATTTAGAAGTTACCTAAGTGGCTTATATATCATGTTTAACCTCAGTAGCAAAATCTCTATTAATAAAAATAGTGTACATGTATGCCTTAATAAAAACAAACAGGTGAGATGTTAGGACACTTTATTTTTATTTTAGTGGACACTCAAAAATTACAACAGACAGCAGCTGGGGTTTGGAAGAGAACTGAACAAATATTTAAAATATAATCTGATCATTTTTAAGCAGCCTTCAGAATCTCCACGTATTAACATGCTGTTTTGTTTTAATCCTTGACCTCTTGGTTTTTCTCAGCTTTGGATCTGGTGGGTAACATACGTCTCTGAAGACGTTGGAGCACTTTTGCAAATATGTGGTGTCTCGATAAATCGAGCAGATATTTGAAGTTTACACAGCTACATTCTCGCCAGAAAGAGTAATATTTAAAAGTTTTTAGCCGCACTCATCCACCATTGCCGCGTTTGAGTTTTGGACAAAATGTATTCTGGGATATTTAGCTGTAGAAGACAAGGAGGGGACAGGGAGGTCATGTGACCATCACAGCTGCTGCTGATGTCATCATGTTGTCCTTTATTGTCCTCTCAGTTTATAAGGTGGAGGTGGATTCAGGGGTGGAGTCTGTCCAACTGATCTGCAAAACCACAGTTTGTCTGCCTAAAGATGCTAAAGTGGAGTGGAAGGA